GGTCAGTTCTTTTTCTGGCTTACCTTTCCCCCTGTCCTCCTAAATGAAGCCAGTAGTGTTAAAACACACACTTCGAACATTCTGTACTTCAATCTGTTTCTCTAGAGTAACAAATTCATTTGGCATATGTTTTTCCTTCCAAGTTACAGCAGATGGCAATTTCACCGTCCCGTTCTATGGGTTATGGATCTTCACTAGCATCTACTTTCATTACCTGCTACCGACTTCTAAGCCAGTACCAATTCTTCTTTTTCCTTCCTCCTTTTTCTCTCCTTTTCTTGTCCTTCCTCCTCCTCCTTCCTTTAATATTCCAGTTCAGATCACCAATTACTTTATTCATATTTTGTCAGGAAAGTAGAAAATAATCTAGGTGTTATTGGGTCAGAAGTGGTCTGTTACAGGCTTTAGAAGTTGGATGTCTGGGGAGTCAAGATATGAAAGACTGTTTTTGGAAAATCTAGAGTGCAGGCATTGTAGTAGAGATGCCAATGTGGTCTTTTTTTAAAAAAAGTATTTAATTTTGTATTTGTTATTATTACTATGTATGTTTAAACTGCTTTTAATTATTACTAAATTAAAAGTGGAGGAAATAGTAAATGGCACAATTTCTTTCCTTTGCCTTGTACCCCTGAGACTCATGGTTTCCCTGACTCCCACCCCAAGACTCCATCTGTAGTACATTTGGTAGAATATCATGCTGCACATTTCAGGTATTTCGTGTGGGCTAAATTACTAGCCACTCTATACCATGTTGTTTCTTGGAATATTGCCTTTTGAGTTCCAATGTGCCATAAAAAATTGGGCAATATGTACTATTATAAATGTTTTGGTATATGTAGCATTTTTCTTTTTCTTTTTTGAAATAGATTTTTGCTATAGGGTGCATGAGCTTGCCAGAGAGACAGAGAGAGAGAGACAGAAAACTAGAAATCACCCCTCAGGGGGATTGGCCACACTGCAGCCCTTTATCCTCCATTCTCCTTTTTGGATTTTGGGCTTGCATGCACAATGTGCCCAAAGTGTTTCAAGCCGCCAGGTCTGGGACTTGAACCACAGTCAACCATATGGGAATTCAGTGCCTTAACCACTATGACCTGCTGGCCCTGGTATTTTTCTTTTTCAAGAAAGGCAAGTAATAAGCAAAACAGATGATGAGATTATCAAGGGATTATGACCTATTCTGGTTTTTTGAAGATGGTTTTGAGTTATTAATACTACTATAGTTTGGTGTCGGCAGGTGGCATGGTGGTTAAGGGCGTTGGTCTCCCCTGTGGCCAACCACAGTTTGAGTCCTGGACTTGGCGGCTTGCTTTCTCAGTTTCCCTTTCTCTGTTTCTCTCTGTCCCTCTCTGGTAAATTAAAATAAATAAATAAAATTAACTAAAATAATTCTTAAAAAATAATAATAGTTATTTTTTGGAGAGGTTTTTCCTATAGGGTGCGTGTGCTCGCCAGACAGACAGAGAGAGACAGAGAGACAGAAAGTGAGAAATCACCCCCACCAGGGGGGATGGCCACGCCACAATCCCTTCTCCTCCATTCTCCTCTCGGGATCTTGGGCACGTACGCACACGCGCCCGGCGTGAGTTTAAGCCACTGGGTTCGGGACGTGAACCGCGGTCGGCTACGTGGGAGTCCAGTAACATAGCCATTATGCAAACTGCTGGTCCCAATAATAATAGTTTTATGAATCATTATCAAAAGATAAAATATTACTCAGCATTATTTTGTAGCTACCATTATCAATTTGTGAAGAGTTAAAATAGCTCATTTGAATTAGATATTTTCTTAACTGGTCTCTTTCTGCAGCCATTTTAATAGGTGCTCATCAAAATAGATCACTGAACCTTTAATGACCCAGTCTGCTCACAGCTACTCCACACAGCAGAATTTCTGAGCATAGTCTCTGCTCTGGATATTAAGGAATAAGCATATTCTTACTGTTAAAAGCTTCTTTTTGAACTGGAACAATCGACATTTCTCTTCCTTTGGTTAGGTGTTCTCAAACTAGACTGTTTATAAAGTTATTTTCCCTCTGTGTCATATACATGTAATCCAACTTTAGTGATGGTGGTTCGGAAATAAGTGGACTTTCTTGTAATTAGAAAATGATCTTGTGACAGGATAAAGCTTGAAATTGCTCTTTTTGTGAAATGAGCGTGTCTTTTCAAGATTAATTCAATTCCCATTGCTATAACTGGCAGCAGAATTGCCAGCGCTGTTTGGTGATGAGGTTGAACTTTTCCTGCAGGAATCATGTAGCTGTACAGCTGTGGAAACACAAATTCACTCCCCCATTGTCGGTTTTCTGACAGCTTTTTCTGCAGAACAGTTTGAAGAGCGTAGTGCCCTGTTTCTGAGACAGAGAAGTGTTTTCACACCTGAAGTGTAATTTCACACCTTGTGTTTCTCAGCAGATAAGTGCATAAAATAACACATCAAACCGGAATAGAAAAAGATCAACATAGAAAGAAACTGCAGGTTGTAATTCATTTCCTATCTTACAATGCTCTTGGAGAGAACAGTAAATTACAGAGATCTGGGTTTACACTTCCGAAAGTTTGACTGACCGTTAGGTGGGAAAGTGAGCAGTAAACACTGATCGGCTTGCTGCCTGTAATGAACATCATGTACAGAATGAAAGAATTTAGGAACCCACCCTAAAGTTTTTATTTAAAAAAAAATAGTATGCACATAAATTAGTAGTAAAAATTGGAGTTAAGAAAAAGTAATAGGGACCAGAAGATGGCGCAATAGCTACGTTGCTGGACTCCCATGTAGTCGACTGTGGTTTGAGTCCCGTACCCGGTGGCTTAAACTCATGCTGGGTGTGTGTGTGTGTGTGTGTGTGTGTGTGTGTGTGTGTGTGCGCGCGCGCTAAAAATCCAGAGAGAAGAATGAAGGAGAAGGGATTGCAGCATGGGCATCCTGGGGGGTGATTGCTCGCTTTCTGTCTCTCTGTCTCTCTCGTCTTTCTGGTGAGCACATGTGCCCTATAGCAAAAACCTCTCAAAAAAGAAAAAAAAAGTAATAAATCAATCAATATATTAGATGTTTTTACCAAAAATATAATTGAGGAGATCCAATTAGGAATTTTTTTTTTTTTTTTTTTTTTTAGGGTTTTTCCTTAGCGGGCGCGGGCCTTACAGACAGACAGAGAGAGATGTAGAGACAGAAAGCGAGAAATCACCCCCCAGGGGGGATGGTCACGCCACAATCCCCTCTCCTCCATTCTCCTCTCAGGATCTTGGGCACGCACGCACACGCGCCCGCCGTGAGTTTTTTAAGCCACCGGGTCCGGGACATGAACCGCGGTCGACTACGTGGGAATCCAGCGACATAGCCATTACGTTAACTGCTGGTTCTCCAGTTAGGAATTTTAGCAAGAGTAGACCATGTTAGTAAGATTTAGATGCTAAATGTTATTTTATAGCATTCTAGTGATAAGGCTATAAAATGAAGGTTTTAGCTTTATTTTCCAAGTTTGAAATGAGACAGAAAGAGAGGGAAAGATGCTGAGTTTCTTGGCTCGTCATGACCATTCAATACAAAGTATTTATTCAAGGTTGATCACAGGTTAGGCAAAAGGCCACGCATGTGGGGTGTGATGCTAACAGAAGCAGTCCCTCTCTACCATTGGGGGGCTGATAGTCTTTGCAGACAAATAAACAAGTAGTGGCTTATAGAGTGCTAGGTGCTGAAACAGGTTAAAACTAGGGTTTGGTGGAGGCTATGGAAGGGTTAGCTGAACCAGAGTTGGTCAGGGAGAGGGGAAGAACTCCATATAGTTTATTGGATAAAGTGATGTCCAAACCAAGCTTAATGAATAGAAGTCACGGGAGGGGGGTGTCAAGGCAAGGAGAGCAAATACAGACATGAAAAGGGAAGCCAACAGGTGGGTTGGAGAAATGGAGGATGTTGAATGAAGTGGGAAAACAATGGAGAATGGCAGGAGTGAGCAAGGAGACTGGGAGATAAACAGGCCAGACTAGAGTCTACACCAAGACACTTAGCTTTTATCCTGAAACTGGTGGGAAGTATTGATGAATAACTTTTGTTTCTTAGCAAAAGTGACATGACCAGATCTGCATCTTGCAATGATCGTTCTGGTCATGCACTGACTGAGAAATGAGGGGGCAATGCATAAAGGTGGAGTGGAGGGACACTGCTGACTTGAGCCACTTCATGCACTGAACGTTCAGAGGCTTTGGTACTAGAAAGCAGTGGTTGGATTTGGGGATGATGTAGGAGGTAGATCAAAAGCACCTCATGACTGATTGGGTGCACTGGAAGTGACAAAGCTAGTTTTGTCAAAAAATGAAGTTCTGACCGCTGACTTGCATAATTGAGTGAATTATGTTACTATGCACAGAGCTAAGGAACACTGGACCAGCATATGTTTAGAGCTGGGGGTGTCTTGAGTGTGAATGTGCGTGGCATGTCCTAGAGAATTGAGTGTTCAATTGGTCAAACCTATGGACTTGGTATTTGATGTTGAAGTCATGGAGTGGATCAGATGGTCCAAAGAATGTGTAGAGAGTGAGAAAGGAAGAGACTAACTCAGGCATAAAACAGAAATTTGACTATAAAAAATGTACACAGAGAGCATTATATGTATATAATGAATATATATCTCACATATTCGTATGAGCATATATACATATATCTATGTATACACACACACACATGCACACACACACATTTTGTATAAATGTGGGTGAAGAGTTGTGAATATTCACAAACATGGTTGCATGAAATGAGTATGCTTGGACATGTAGAAGTTCTAATGAACATCAGCAGTGTACCAGGTACTAAGTCACATGATACATTAGGTATTCAAGGTAATAATCCCTTTCCTTAATCAATGCAGGCTTTCTTAGTCTAATAGCAAAAACCGGGTCTAAGGAGAAATTCGCATCCCGAATAAATATTACAACTAAACTTGCAAGACAGAAAGCAATGATGTTTTGTCATCTCCCTTCTCTTTCTTTTTGTCTTAGATACATATGGAAAACTCTTTCTCCTCAATTCTGTGGGTCAAGAGATGTCTCGTTGCAAGACATCTATTCGACGTGGTCAGCCCAATCCTGTCTATAAGGAGACCTTCGTTTTCCAAGTGGCTCTCTTTCAGCTCTCTGATGTCACATTGATGATTTCCATTTATAACAGGCGTACTATGAAACGTAAAGAGATGATTGGTTGGATTGCACTGGGTCAAAACAGCAGTGGAGAGGAGGAACAAGATCATTGGGAGGAAATGAAGGAAAACAAAGGCCAGCAGATCTGCAGATGGCACAGTTTACTGGAATCCTAGGTGTGCCAACAGGCCATGGTGTGCCCTGTCCCTTTTGGCCAACCATGTTGCTGGCTACTTACCCCAAGTTAGCGTACGCTGGTGAGCTTGTCAGACTTTCAAACAGAGATTCTGTTGACCCTTAGAACATTGCGAGTGGAAGCTTCAGCTTTCTCAAGGTTTAACTTCAATTTAATTATTGTAATTAAAGAAAACTTACTCAGCCCAATGTACTATATGGGAAATGTTACCATAGTTGATACCAGTGATGATAAATTAATTTATGCTAATAGATTAGTGAGTTTTGGTTCAGACTATGGAATGAAGCTTCTGCTGTCTCTGTTTACTTAAAGAGTAACCTGAAATTGCAGGGGAGTTGTTAAATGTTACTATTTGCAATCATTTAAGTGTATGAATCACAATTTTCTTAATGCAGTGCAAAAACTTCCAAAATACAGAAATGATTCAGATGCTGAATCTCATAGAAGAATGTAGTAATAGTAATCCATAATCTCTTATTTCACATTTTCCTCTTTATCAAATGAATCTATCTTACAAGAAACTGTTACAAACTTGCACTGATAAAATAAATTTGTATTAATTAAATACCTCTTTTATCTCTCTTATATATTGTGGTTTCTATGAGATTTGATTAGATGAATCATTTTGAAGCAAGAGAAGAGTTTACAAACTACTGTTATAAAACAATGTCTCTCCTTTTGGGTATGTAGTATTTTAAACTTGTAACTTTCAAGGTTTTTATGCTGTCTTTCTCACCTAATAAATTCTTATAGAATGAAAAGAAAACCAAAAAAAAATCTAGTTAAGTCATGGATTTATTAATTCGGTATTCTTTTTTGGATTATGCTGTTTTTATATTCAGTTATGTATACTCATGCATATATTTTGAATGTACTCGTGCATGTAAACCATGCTCTTTTGTTCAGTATTTCCCATCAGTAGAACATAGTAAATTGTGCATAATGGGTCTTTAATAAATAATGATTTGATTGACTCTTAGAAGCGAACATGTTATAACACCCGTGAATAAAGAAATATTTTCAGCTTGTGTGGAATGACACTGAATTTTCCTTTGAGCATTTGAAGTGCCTGTCACTGTCATTTTTCATGGCATCTTCAGTAGCATATCTTAGTCACTACTTGGATTCTGGGTGTGTGCCATTCACAACACTGATCTTACATGGTTATGAGCATGGCATTTTACTTGAGGCAGACTTTCACATAGTTATGCTATGCACGTTTATTTTCTTTATTCTTAGTCTTGAGTCCTTCATTTCAATTAATTTAAATTGGCAGTGATGAGAAATAAAATAAAATAACAGGGAAAGAATATGCATACATTTAACCCTGTCGCCCAACGTGCTGCTCTTCTAAGCAATGGCTCAGTCACTTATTTTTAGCGTCTGTTTCATTGTTGACTTTTTCCTGTCTGTGGGAAGAGTGATAGCTAGTGATGGATGTGTGCAGTTAAAAACCCGTAACTCCTCCTCAGCTCTGCATTTTGACAGATTGTAAGAGTAGGCTGTAACACTTGAAGATCATATTTATCCCTTACAGTATGCAGTGGTTATCCTGGAAGACCAGACTAGGGCACAGGATAATTCTACTAAAATTTCAGAGTTCAGTCTTTGAAAAAAGTGACTTCATATGAAAGAATCAGAATGTGCAAAATAAATCTGTATGGTCATTTCTTTTCAGGTCATGGGAGTTTCACGTATACTGCCGCATTATGGGGACTAAGTAATAAAACCATGCTCCTTTGGGTTTTTACCCTACCTTTCTTTGGAAGACCTCAAAGTGCTTTTCCAGCATTATCGCCATTAACTGTGAGTGGTCTTTGCAGTGTGGCTATGTCACTGAGTAAAACTGAGTGCAATTGATTAAATAGCAGCACAGAGAACTGGCTTTTCACATCCCTTACTCTTTATGCCTTGTGTTTAAAGGGAAGTAGAAGAGCCTCGTTATGCTTTCCTTTACGCAGTAACATAATAGCAGCATTCACTTTAAAATTTACATTTGAAAAAAATCTGTATATATTGTACAGACAGCCCTGAATTCCCCCCTCATATTTCCCTGCTCTGTGTGTTGCTGCAACCCTGGTTTCATGATGTCTAGTAATCACCTAGACTTCATTTTTCTGTTTTCCTTGACCCACCTGTTTTTAAGGTTTTCTGCTGGTATAGTGAAGAAATCCTTGGGTGCTTGATCTGCTTTCCAATAGCCTGTTCCCGTTTGCAAGAACTGCAACATTTTCAGGGAAGGGATGCCTGAACAGCATTTTAATTTTTTATAATTCTACTATGTTGGTTCCATTCACCATATAGGATGCATGCACATCTTGACTACACAGCAGCATTCACCCTCAGCCAATTGCGTAGACACAAAATGCTAGACAAGATACATTAAAATAGGAGCCTGATTTTTTTTTTTACTTTGTTTTGAAATTCTAGTTTAGTAAGATCTTTTAATTTTGTGCACTTAAACTCCCTTATTTGCTTGGCAAAGTCTAGACACAAATGCATTTAACATGTTTTTCACTTGAGCTTCTACATCTACATTTGCTTTTCAAAAGAGTTATGAAGGGTAATTAGTTGGTTCTGCCGTGAAAAGCTGCTTTTGCCTATTTCATCTAGCTAATGATTAATATCTCCTAGGGAGATTTGACATTGAAGCAGCGCTGGGTTTTGTCATATAAGTAGTTCTTTCAGTTAATTTTTTTTTTTTTCCTGAAGAGCAAGCTTTTAAAATAATCTCGATGCACTAGGTTTATAGAAATCTGCTTCATAGTGAGCCTTCTTTCAGGGTGTGAGCTTATGCCGAATTGAGAAGTGCTGGTTTCACCAGTCCTCGTGGTGGTGGTTGTACTCTCTGCTCCCCTCTCTGACTCTTGTTGAATTTTTAAATGGACCATTCACCAGGCAGCCAAACACCTGCTCTCGGTTCCCTTTCCTTCCCTGGCTCCCAGTGTGATGAACGGTTGTTTTGGACCCTGCTCTTGCTGATTCCCTGTAACTGTCAGGGGCCTCTTGTCTTTCCTAACATGAGAAGAATTTGTAGTGCTTTAGATATTTGGCATTCCACCTGCTCAAAGTTGGGAAAAGAATCATCTCCATGTTTGCAAAGGGAAAAGAGGAGAATATTGCACTGTCATTCACTTTAGGTGCAATTAATTCTGACATCCTCCATAACAGTTAACTGATTGCTCTCAGACATTGATATTCACCACAGTACTGGGTGCTCCAGTGGGCCTGAAACAGTTTCTGCCTTTTCAGCCTGTAAATCTTACAATGTTTTACAAATTACTGTTACCTCTTGGTCAGTCACTGTGCTTTACTAGATGATCTCATTGAAGAACCAAAGCTCCTTTCTGAGTAAAGGAGTACTTTCAGTAAAAAGGACCATCTGGTTAAATCAAAGTGCTTCTCTGATAGTTACTAAATTGATTTTCTTGTGGTTCACTGTACACATCAAACTCTGGGTTTCCTATAAACTCAGCTATTCTTTTAAAGCAGAGGACTTAGTATATCAAGATCAGAAAAATGAGTAGAAAATGATTATTTATAAATGATATAAAAACAAATGGAGGCATATTGTATACTGATAAAGAAACAGGTCTAGGTTTCTACAGGTGGTGTAGTTAAGTCACTGGATTCCCATATGGCTGACGTTGGTTCAAGTCCTGGACCTGACAGCTTTAAAATCACACCAAGCAGATGTACAAATGTGCACAAAATCCAGAGAGAAGAATGGAGGAAAAGGGACTGGCATGATCATACCCAACATACATATTCCATGGCAAAAACCTTAAGAAGAAGAAGGAGAAGGAGAAGGAGAAGGAGAAGGAGAAGGAGAAGGAGAAGGAGAAGAAAAAAGACTAGAAAATATTTGTGGTATCTCCTTATTGGAGAAAACTGCTGTGGTTAAAGAACATTCCATTCTGAGACCAGTAGATGGCATAATGGTTACATCTCTGGACTCCCACATGTCCAACTGTGGTTCAAGTCCCAGAACCGGTGGCTTGAAACTCAACTGGGCACGTGTGTGTGTATGTGTGTGTGCGCACGCTCCAAATCCCAAGAGAATGGAGGAGAAAGGATTGCGGCTTGGCCATCCCCCTTGGGGGGTGGTTTCTTGTTTTCTGTTTCTCTTGTCTCTAGTGAGTGCACAACCCTATAGCAAAAACCTCTCTTTAAAAATAATCCATTCTAGGGAACCAGCAGTTAGCGTAATGGCTGGGTCGCTGGACTCCCACCTAATTGACCACGGTTCGTGTCCCGGACCCGGGGGCTTAAAACTCATGCCGGGCATGTGTGCGTGCGTGCCCAAGATTCCGAGAGGAGAAGGGATTGTGGCATGACCATCCCCTTTGGGGGGTGATTTCTCGCTTTCTGTCTCTCTGTCTCTCTCTCTCTGTCTGGTGAGCGCACGCGCCCTATACCAAAAACCTCTCAAAAAAAAAAAAATCCATTCTATTTGGTTCAAGGAAAAACAAGTAATAGGTAATCCTAAACTGGAAAAATGACTTACATTGTCATAAAAAATAATCATTTGTTCAGCCAAAACTATAAAAGGAATCTAAAATACCATCAGCAAAAAATATGAGTTGTGTATATATGTATATGGAAGAACTAAAGAATAAACAGACATGGTGGACGTATTTAGCATCGCCAGCACATATTCAAGAACACTAAATAAATAAGCCAAAAGGCATTCTATTCTAGAGTAACTATATATTTTTTCCGCAATTTGTGAAATTTTGGAAAATACTTGAAGATGGGGAAAATGAAACTGGCCAAACCCAATAATATTGGCATAGACTGTGATCTTAGCTTGGGTTTGGATGGAAATCTTTTAACTGTGTGGCCTAAAGAAAATCATTTAGCCAGCCTGTGTCCCAGTTTCTTCAAATGGAAAATAGAAATAATACCTACCTCATAAGTTTTCTTTTTAAAATATTAATATATCACTGAAATCTTAGATATAATACACCTTGCATAGTGCCTGGAATATATTCAATATTTCTTCTTCATAGTCATGTTTGTAAAGGGGAAAATAAAGATTTCTTTCCCTTTCTAGCAAAAGTAATTATAACATGAGAGAAAACCTAAAACAATTTTCAGATACTTTAAAAAGGATAGGCTTATAAAGCCAGCCTGGATTTGTAAAGCAGGTCTTACCAGGACAACCTAGTCAAAGATAAGCATGGTAGATGGAATAAATTGAATCTTAATAGACTGAGGTATAACCAAATCTTTGTCTTTTAGCACCTTTCCTGGGGGAAATGCAAAAGTTTGGCACCGTGTGTGTTTCTGGATAAAGCACACAGAGGCCTCTCCTCCCCCAGCTGTACTCTACTATTCATAGATGAATAGGGCACCTTGTAGTACCCATCAAAAGAGTTGGTGAAGATGGGAAGTTGGCTGTGTATTCCAACTTCAATTAGAAGAAGTAGAATGAATAGTGTGACACTATACTAACCCTTTAAAAAATGGACTATGCTTTTCCCCTATATTAAATATTCATTTTGTATC